TTAGTTCTAGACTACAGGAACATTTTATATTCTATGACACTATTAGTTCTAGACTACAGGAACATTTTATATTCTATGACACTATTAGTTCTAGACTACAGGAACATTTTATATTCTATGACACTATTAGTTCTAGACTACAGGAACATTTTATATTCTATGACACTATTAGTTCTAGACTACAGGAACATTTATATTCTCTATGTCATTGTTAGTTCTTAGACTACTGTAGCATTTTATATTCTAAGTCACTATTAGTTCTAGACTACAGGAACATTTTATATTCTATGTCATTGTTAGTTCTAGACTACTGTAGCATTTTATATTCTAAGTCACTATTAGTTCTAGACTACAGGAACATTTTATATTCTCTATGTCATTGTTAGTTCTTAGACTACTGTAGCATTTTCTACTGTCTTAGACTACTGTAGCAGTTTATACAATATATACTGCAACTAATATTGTTTTACTCTTGTAGCACTTTACTCTACTGCTGAAGGTTTATTGGTGTAGCACTTTATAGTGCTGCAAAGCTTACAGTGTCACTAACTAAACCAAAGCTAAACTAAAACTACAAGAAAGTTTGATAATTGTTTTTCACTGCTCACCACCATTTTCAAAGATTTGAACTAGTAACCCATAACTTTTTCTTATAACCATTTAATTAAATACAATTTATTTTATAAGGTAGTTAAATCTGCAGGAACAAGTGTCTAGGATATTGTATCTAAGACAATTTTATTGATAATACACTTCAATTTACAGGATCAGAGTTGCCTACATGACGATATTAAAAGATCTATCATCCCAACGTTAAAAAAATATTTCCACTGAATTTCTGAGCACTTTCTTTTATGATGCAGAAGAGAGCCAACTTAGTCATTTAATGTACAACAAACACTATGTGAAATTTCAATTTCAGTGAAAAAGTTAGTTTCACGTATGCATAGAGATTAAATTTTATACTTTCATATAAAAGTAACTATTAGCTATCACAAGAATATAATTATATTTTCAGATTTGTTTTATAAGCTTTACTTTAATTTCATGGTTTATTCAAAACAGTCACACTCATCTGGCACACGAGTCTTCTACACTCTGAAAGACGAGGTTATTTCAACTATAAGTCAGTAGTAGTTGAAAAACTATAGCCTCTCTGCTAGCCATATGGCCCCCCTACAGCCGAACTTTATCATTTGAGAAAGGGCTTTATAAAAAGGTGCTTGCTCTGCATCATGGTCTAGACCTGTATCATGGTGGTTCTGTTCATCATCACGAAAACGTTTTAGTACATCAAGAAGTTCACGATTTGCAGTAGGATCGTCTTTTATTAGCTCTCTTATTTGATCATTGTAGTGCTCTGTTATAACAGATTCCACAGCAACAGTACAAGCCATTGCACTTTCCTTTCCAAGCAGTGCTGTACCTAGAAAAGGTAAAAAAGGCTCATCATTGCATCAGGTCTACAGAAAAGTCTTGCACAATATGCACTGAAGAATTTGACAAAAAAGACAAACATTACTTTCACACAAAAAACTAAATCCTGAATAAACAACATGTTTTGCTAAAAACTTTTATCAACTAAAAGTTGGAAAACCATTTTCATAATTATACAAGACATCAGTATTGGTAATACACAATTATGTCTTGGAGAAACCTTTATCTTCCTACACTTACCCAAGAGAGATGGGAAATAAGGCTAGGAGAATATTTATATTAGTATAATAAAAAAGAATATAGTAAAATCAGTAACGTAAGTACTGTAACTCTTTCATCTAATGAGATCCACTTCGTATGACAACAGTATATATACTATTCTACCATTTACATGTATATGGTGCTGCACCATAATTGCTTTATTTACTAATGTGTATGTGTGGATTGTATAAGGCTTGATCAATTTAAAATGGAAGATAGTGTATTTACAAAGCCTGTGCTCCATAGAATGTTAACATTTTCCTTACCTGAAAATGTATTTCCACTAGATGCCTCTGCACACAGTACCTACTTCTTGCATGTTAGTGTTTTAACATGAACAGCACTAGTGTGTAATGTAATCATCATGTAATGATAGCCATCCACCAACAGGAAGGCAATACATCCTCAATGTGCAGTAGATCCCCATAAGCACTTGAAATAACAAGAATATTGTGCATCAGTAGTGAGAAAATGTGCAGAGAGGCAAGTACCTCTTGGAAATACATTTTCAGAAACAATATATTTATCTCTTCACACAGTAGCTAGAATGTTAAATTGATGTGATGGAGAAGTTGGTGCAATTGCAAAAACCTAGATGAGCTCCCTTCAGAGAAGGCAACTGAAAAAGAAAGCCCATGGTGTGCGACACAGGATATGGGGGCTTACAAAAGGGGGCAACACTCATGGGAGACGAAGACTCATCCATCTCATGCAAGATGCATTTTTCACCTGAATGGAAGTATGAAAGGAGGAAGGCAATGAAGCCAATGTGTCACTGAGATTACCATAAAAATGCATGACCAACCGAGCATATGCACACAGCTCAGACCATAAAATTTGGTATGTGCTCTGTTGAATCATTTACTCACATTACAGGAACAAGAGTAAAGGTCCATTCCTGTTGTAGAACACTTTGCCCCATCCTGCTGGACAAACCACTGGGAAATTGGTATATTATATAAGAGGGGATGACTCGTACTACACTGAAATGGATACCAATGCTCTACTTCCCACTTGGGCTCTCTCCAGATGGATTGCATAACCAGAGAGGTTATGGATCAGTGGACCACCTCAAAAGTTAGGAATTGAAAGTGGTAAGGATATCCTGTGCTCCACTCGAAGATCAGTGGGGGAGGAATTTGTGCTGAGGAGACACCAGAGAAGTGCCTGGACCCAAGGTATTTTAATGAAGAAAGTGAAATGGATAACCTGATTTAAAAAGCTGGCATGAGCAAGGCAAGGAAGTGAGTAGACACTTCCTTAGTTTTAGCTTTTCTCCTGTTTGTCCATGGAAGGTGTGGTCTGGAATGAGCAATGTAAGATGTATATAGGTCTTGTGGAAAACCCCATCTCAACAGTGGGCACATTTGGAGCCAGGGCAAATGGGTTTAATGCTTTCCATTACCCCTGACTCAATGCAGATTTAAGGTAGTAAGCAATCCTTGTGAGGCAACACTTGCTATTTGGTGGGTTCCAAGAAAAGAATTGTATAAGAGTAGAAATGGGTAAGGAAGTAAAAAGACACTCACCTATAAGATGGTGAGTAGATTGGAGAATGGCAACTGGAGGTGAGCAATATCCTAAGGAAGACACAACTGCCAGATGGTACAGGTAAAGGGAGATAAATATGTTGGATGTAATTCACATTCCAGCCTGGAGTATCAAGCATCTCCATCCAGGGAGTCAGTAAAGTGGGGGAGTTAATGTGATGAGACATCACACAGCCTGCAAGCATCTCCATCCGGGGAGTCAGTAAAGTGGGGGAGTTAATGTGATGAGACATCACACAGTCTGCAAGCATCTCCATCCGGGGAGTCAGTAAAGTGGGGGAGTTAATGTGATAAGACATCACACAGCCTGCAAGCATCTCCATCCGGGGAGTCAGTAAAGTGGGGGAGTTAATGTGATGAGACATCACACAGCCTGCAAGCATCTCCATCCAGGAAAGGATATACAATCTGGATGAATTGATGAAACTATCCAGTAAGTGTAAAGGATAAGAGATCACTGACAAAAAAAAGAGAGGTTCAATAGTAAGAATAAAGATTTATGGAAACCCTGAAATAGAGCTTAGTATGCCAAATAACACCTGACCACTTGAAATGGATACGTAAGATGATCTGGATCAGTATGATCATAGAGGGTTCAGATAAACAGAAGAAAAATTTGAGCGAAGAAACAATCTCTCTCCTGAGCTACCCAAGTTATAGGAAGACCTGTGAAACAAAGTGTGGAGTGCATCCAATCCACAAAGAACAAACCAGAAGGAAAAGGAAATAGATTTTGAGGGAGATAGATGGTATAAAGAAAATGTGGCCAGTGTTTCAGATGGGGCTTGGGTAAGAACAAGTAGAACCACATTAAGTTCCAGTGTGGCAAAGGAATCAGATGAGGGGGACAATGAATAAGGAAGAACCAGAAAAAAGGTGAAAAGAAAAGGGGAGGAAAAGACAGAACCATAGGGAAATAGTTGAAAGGTAATCATCAAGATTGTCCAATAGCTTGTTATAGTATAAACCAACAATCCTCAATCAAACAACTAAGTAAAGAAGGCCAAAAGGTGTGCAACAGTAGGACAGCCTGATACAAGAGATTGGCAGATGGACTAGCAGCAAAAAAACATACAATTTTTATTGGCAGACAGAGAGAGCAGAAGGGCAACACAAATGGGTTAAAAGAAAAACTATGTAATCAGAGAAACATGACTAATAATCAAGGGTCTGAACAAGTCCCACTTGTGAAGACAAACGGATAACAGTCCCAAGTTAAAGAGAAACATATAAGGTAGCTGAGGGTAAAAAGAGATTAGACCAGTTCTGGCTGAGGGCATCCACTGCCAGAGCAGATGGGTCAGATAGGAGAGACCAGAAGAGAGAAAATTTGGTATTGAGAGAAGTGAGAAAGGCATCAATCACTGGTGTGCCCAACTGGGAACAGATCTAAGGAAAGACCCGAGGTTGAAGTGACAATTCATGAAGAAAAAATCCTGTCTGGTCAAGAGAGACAATCTGCCACTCAATTGGAAAGCCCCAGTACATGACAGGTGACCAGACAAAGATGATGTGAGTGGGCCTGACGTAGAAAGTCGAATGTGCAGAAGCAAAGTTCCCTGGATCTCATCCCACCCTGATAATTGATATCGGAGACAACCAGAGAATTGTCTGAGTCATTAGGGGTTAGGTCACTGTGTTTAGGTTTACTTAGTAAACCTAATTCGTCTATATCATTACGACATTTTTGTATAAAATATTCTAAACTAGTGAATGTTCCTATGGGCGGTGTCCACTTTTAGTTCATTTTTTTTGTATCTCTTGAAATCACAATGGAGGTCTTGATTAGGAGATGAACTGGTATATTGGAGATGTTGTTCTGATATGTAGTGAGCATCATATTGGAAGTTAAGTGATCACCAATACTGTCATTACTTGGGGTTGTTGATCCATAAATGGAGGTTGGTTGTTGTTGATTTCAAGATGTTTCTTCACATGAACTCAAAGATGTGTTTATAGAAGTCAATTTTGAAAAATGAGCCTTTAGTCTTAACCTATGGTAAAATTTCTCAAACACCTCTCAAATACATCAATAGACTTTCTGGTTGGAACAAAATTGAGACCTTTGTTAAAGACTGATTTTCTGTGTCAGTCAGTGATAAATTAGCAGGAATACTGACAACGAAATTAGGATTCTCTTCAAGACTATTTTTGTTAGAACAAGGATAATGTATTTTAATACCTAGTTTACACGGTTTTGCTTCTTTAGCATTTTTAAGAAAGGTATGATATATTCAATCGCGTACAGACCTTTGGATAGTAGAGGGCTCAAGGAAATTACATAGAGTTCATAAAGTTCTTGACATGTTTAATGAAGTTTAGCAGTGGCTGTTTCCCTTCACTGGCATATAGTAGTTAATGTTGAATTCATAAGTCTGAAGGAGCTGCACAAAATAATCTTACTGATGCTGTAGTTGAATCATCATCATCATCATC